CAAGGGGGGTGTAGAGGAAAAGGGGAGTACAGGAAAGGGGTGATGCAGGATCTCGTAAAACCTTAAATTCACCTTTTTTGCTTAGCTTCCCGTGTGTAAATATCCTAATGCTGATACCATATTCTAGGAAGTTGCTCATGGTTTTTCATGTGGTCTTCTCCTAGATTCCTAATTCCTTCATTCTTTTCCTATGGGAAGAAAGAGTGGTCTCATAGTTACCAAACATATTTCTTATGAGGGCTTCATTCAGTTGAATTTTACCCAAGTCAATGACGAGGATACTTTATCTTCATATTTGTCTGCAGTAAGTTAACACTCAAGTGTATGGCACAACTGAAGCATGTACCTTAATATCATGATATTGGTACCAGCATAACTTTTTATTGATGCTGCTAAATGGGTAGGTATAATCTTACCCTTGTCCTATCCTATGGGTGTAATGATGATTATGTATCCTAAACTTTATGTTTGAATCGGCATGCTTTTTTTTATTGCCGCTCATGAATGAACATTTTGAGATTCAGTTTTTTTAACCTCGTGGAATACATGAGCTTCCTTCTTTGAAGAGCATTTTAATATTCAGAGGTTCTGAAATAATTTTATCTGAGGATTCCTGAGTAATAGTAATAACAATGGTGTCTCATGATTGAGTTTTGAATAGCAGGCTAGGAACCTTTATACAAGGTTGCAAGCTTCAATCAGTGACTACTGCATTTTTATTATAAAGACAGACAAATGTTAAATTGTGCATATTCATAATAAATGCTAAAACATACTTTTAAAGTTCTAGATTGTTCATTAGACATTATATGTCCTCAGTGTGGCAGTCCGACAAACCCTTGGAAAAAATTGTTATGCTTTTGCATGCTTCATGATTATTCCGCATATTGTTTGCCTGTGATACTATTTGCACAAATATATTATTTCTCATTTGTGTAAAGTTGTAATCAGTTAACATATCCTTTCAACAGTTATATTCCTTCAAAAAATTGTTTGCATTTTTGATTTCAAGGAAAAAGGTTCAGGCGAGATTGTCTTCAAGGCAATGGGAAGAGCTATAAACAAAACAGTGATGATTGTGGAGCTAATTAAGGTAATATTTTTTGACATATATCTTAATGATCATTTTGATCACTGAGAAGTTGGAAACTTTTGTCTTGAGTCCTTCCCCACTTCCTTGTATTTTCTGTGCAAAGTTATGCCCGTTGCAAAATGAACATTGTACATAAATATGCTGATGGTGCAGAGAAGGATTGTGGGTCTTCATCAAATTACTGCTATTGGATCTACTGACATTACAGACACATGGGAGCCACTAGAAGAAGGCCTGCTTCCGTAAGAAAATTTTTAACATACGGAGATTTGCTTGTCTAATGGATATGGATATTCAGTTTAGTCTATTGTGTTATCTCCATAGATGTACAGGTTTTTTGTATTCAGGCCTGACATATTTATGATGTTTTACAGGCTTGAAACCACCAGACATGTCTCGATGATCACAATAACACTGTCTAAAACCGAACTGGATAAGAACTCTGTTGGGTGAGAGCAGTAAATTTGCACCATTCAATTTCCTAATTTTTAGGCTATAACTAATTGGTAGCACATGCTTTCTTCTTGATTTTACTCTTTGTATTAATAATTCATCTATTACCAAACTCAAATTGATACACCATATTAATAGTTTAATCTTAATGAATCGCCAGTTTTTGCTGGTTGGGGGTATGGCAGTTTACTTAAAGGTATTTGTGGATCTTTTGTTTGCAATGGGACATGGAGCATAAAGCTTTTATGTGGCAAGGTGGTTGGGAGATTTGAGTTTGCTATGGGAGTGGTGATGCAACTCTTTATGTGGTATGGGTTATTTTGAGATGACACCCCACTACAATGGTTCTAGTGGAAAAGAAAGTAAATACTATGATACTTGGGTTATTGAGTACCACCAACATTACCCCCTAACTTGCTATATGGCCATTTAGTTAGATTGTAGGCCTTTTTTAATGTAATACCAGTACTCTGTTGCATGCGATGCATGCATGACATGATACACCCTTTTATTTTACTCTTGGTAGTTGAACTTCTAAGGGATAATTCATTTATTTCCAAACTCAAATCGATCCACCATATTAATAGTTTAGTCTCATTGAATCGCCGGTTTTTACTGGTTGTGAGTATGGCAGTTTCCTTAAAGGTACTTGCAATGCATGCTATGATATGATATACACTTGTGCAGTTGTGCATGATAAATAAATTGTTTAACTCCTTAACGATTAATATTAATTAATATATGTATTAAAAATAGTTCTACAAAATAATATGAGTGTATGATATTTCAAAAATAGGGTAGCTATGAAGTAGTGAATGGCTTTATGAGATAGTGGGGTTAGTTAAGAAGAAGATTATTGTTTGCCTTTTCCCAAATTTGTTCTTTATGAAGTTGGAATTTTTTGGAAATTGTGTGTATAAGTTTGGAATTTTTCTAAAAGGCGACTTACATATAGAGGTAGAACACCAAAATGGCTTTTCTTAATTAACAGTAATAGATACAATTCAAGCATATTTAATTAGATAGTAGGCCCCTTCTAATTTGATACAATTCAAACATGTATGCCTAGCTCTTGGGAGATGGGGGAACTGATTTCTCTCTTATCTATATATAACTTACTATTTAGAGGTGTAATTGATGGCCTCCTAGCAAATAAATCAGTTTTTAATCAAAACAGTTGGTCTCTTATGTAGGGAGTCGTGAATTTTTTGTAATCTTGTGGACATGACAACAACTAATGTCACCATTCATTTTTTGGAGCTTATTAGGTGTACCCATTTTCTTAAATGTTTGAACTTTTGTTTCAGAATTGAGAATACGGTAGGTTTGGACTTTAGAGATTAGGTCCTCGACATTTCACCTTTTAAATGTTCAATTTGATGTGCTAGAGACTAAAGCTAAACCATAGAGGGCTTTTCATGTGTGCAAAGTGGATCATCACTGGTTTATCAGATACTACTTTTGCTACCCTACCAGCTCGCTGCATGGCCATTTAATTAGAAAGTGGGCGTTACTTAAGTGTGATTATGAGATTCATACATCTGCTTAGCTCTTGGGAGAATTGAAGCAATAATGTCTTATCTTATCATTTTATAGCTTACCAAAAGTATAGGAGTGATTAACAACCTCCTAACAGAGTAGTTTCATTTTAATCAAAATGGTTGGCTATACACTTAAATATGGTTCCTTTTGATGTGTGAATATTAGATGAAACTGTCATATCTTGTGAACTTAATTTTCCTTTTAGTTCTGTTTGATAAGATTTTTATCTTTTGTTTCTTTCTATTAATCCGTGTTTAATGACATTAATCTCCATAGGTACCAAACTCCATTGCCTGCTGATCAGGTGAAACCATGGGGTGAATTCGACCATGGAGGAGGTGAATTTTCTATCCATCTCTCTGCGACATCTACTAATGTGTCCTTTCTGACATCTAATGCTCAAATGTAGATGCTTTACCCAGTGGTCGAGGTAGAGGACGTGGTGGCCGGGGCAGGGGACGGGGTCGAGGTTTGTCTACTACTTCTTGAATGAATTTGTTAGAACTATGGTCTAATTGCGGATAAAAGCCCCCTGTACTATCACCAAGTTGCGGATAGACCCCATGTGCTTTCATTGTTGCACATAGATCCCCTGGATAGTCAACTCTCTTAGTTTCACGTTAAGGTTGGGTTTCATGAACTGAAACATATGAGTTCATTACTGATTTACTTTCTATAGCATAATAATCACCGCATATAACTAATTTATATATGAAAACTAATGGAGTTGAGCGTCCAGGGGGTCTATCTGCAACCATAGAAGTACACAAGGGGCTCTAAACCACAATTGGGCGATTGGGGGCCCGGGGGTGAAAAGGGGGGGGGGCCGTGCATATAGGACTGGATCTCAATTGGGTTGTGTCTGATACATATCTTAAGAATACCATAACTTTCTGTTCAGGTAGATGCCCATGACAATGGACTATGGCAATGGTGTTCATGAATAAGCAGAGTCGTGGATTATGGTAGATGGCCCGAAGGCGGGTGGTAGAGGTCGTGGCTTCCGAGGCCGTGGTAGATGGTCGTTCATGGTGAACCAGCCTGATTACCAGCAAGATGCTGGTGGATACAATGACGAAGAAGCACCTGTTCTTATGCAGGGTGGAGGTATGTTTGGATTAGAAACGAGTGCTTATTTTCCTCATATAGCACCTGATAGATTCCAAGAGACCTAGAGGAACTCTAGAGGAAGGAAAACGGCCGGTACGAGACTAAATGGACTCCAATATACCACTATACTTCCACAATCACAGCACACCATACTAGCTGATTTTGCACTGGTCTAGCCGCAGTAAAACACTGAAATCCTGGCTTCACCCATTTGGACTCGTCTAGTTCAGGGCGTACATTGTAGTACTGGCATCACCACTTGTGCCACTTGCTTACAACTAGTGTTCATGGATGTTGAGGACATACTAGGCTGAAAATTTTCATATGGGATGGTAGACATAGGGGAGATATCAGATATATTTAATAAATGTTGGGTGTCATATTGGATTAGGTGCGTATATGATAGAAATTCATACTTGATACACCAGATAATGGAGTCGTGGATAAAGATGATATCTTTTGCAAAATTTTTGCAAAAGAATTTGGTTTCAGTTTGTGCGCTAATTCTTGTTTTCAGCTATTGCACAAAACAGATTTTTGTTTGGATTTAGACCTCACTTGAACTATCAAAACAAACCAATCTTTTAAAACAAATAAAATTATAAATTGACATTGCGACATTTCGGCCAAAATGTCACTTGTTATATTGGGAAAATCACGATATATCCCCAAAAAGCAGTAAAGGATATTGGATCATTTCGTCTTGGGGCAAGCCTTACAAAATGACGTATTGGCCGATATATCAACCATGTCCAGGGATATTTAAGACAATGCTACAACTGAGAAGAGTGGTGGCTCTGATAGTATATGCAAGAGATCTCAGAGAACTAAACCTGGGAGTACTCGACCCTAATTTTAGAGAGCGAACCCAACCTTCTTACAAATCCACAATTGATTCTGCAATTAGTCGATGAGTGACTAGGTGGATCCTAAATAGATGGTTCTATGTGGACACACACACACTTGCCATTGTCGACCTCTCACCTCAGAGATCGCGCTCCTCTTACTCTTCAGACCTTGTTCATGGATATGAAAACTGGAATTCCCTTTTATTGTTTCCCTTCTTTTTCTGTAGTTACGTAGTTACTCCCATGATATTGGCTTGTAGGTCGCGTGGGCGGGGGCAGAACCGTGGTAGGGGACGCAATGGCAGACCAAATGGACCGATCCATGAAGGTAATGGAGGAGCATGATTGGAATAAGTTAACGAGGTTTTTTTGTTATTTGTGAAAGCGTTCGTTCGAACGGCCGCTCCTCTATAAATGTTTTTTCTTGCTTGCTTGCTTGTTTTTTTTATAGTTCATAGGTTAACCATAGTTTGTATAAGCTGTCAGGGTTTTACCTGGTAAGTCAATTTGTGTTTGTAGGATTAGCTTAGCTGTGTTATATCTTCTGTTCAGTCAGATGAAACTAACCGTGCAGCATTTGGAAGAATAGAGCAGTACATTCTTTTATCTGTTTTCCTCGAAAAGGTTTTGTCTAATTGATCACTCTATGTACCGTCTGCCATCTCTAACCAAGGATTCGTTACGCGATCCGGATGATGTAGATGGTTATCGTGTGTATCTTTCTTCCTCTTGGCACCAAAGACTTGTAATCTGTTGTCTTTAAATCTGGATTACACAATTGGATCAGGCCTCGGTTGTTAATTTTAGTTTTTTTTTTTTTAAATTTTAGCTTTTTTTATAAGAGCTTAGCTTTTTGGGGAGAGAATCTTCTTGTTTATGTAATGGAAGCCAGAAGCTTGTAAACTGAAACTGCTCGGACGTAGTATGGAGATTAAGTTTGTTTATCGTCTTGGAGCTTTTTTTAAGCGCAATTCTGTTAAATAGCGTGCAATATCAATTAAAAGAAAGAGGGAGAGGAGGGGGGGGGGGGGGGGGGCGGGGGGGGGGGGGGGGGGGGGGGGAGGGGGGGGAGGTGTGGTGTGTGTTGAAATTGCTCTCTAATGATTTGCTGGAAAAAAAAAACCAACATTAATGCTCTAAGCTTGCATTTCTTAGTTCGTGTTACGATTTTTTTTGGTCAATGAAAATTTTTTTATTCATCTTCCAATTTGTAAAGTTTGTACACGCATCAAATCTCACCAGCTTTTCGGGTGAGAACAAGAATTCCTAACATATCTATGTTAGGTTACATTTCTCTAATTTTTTCTTTATATATTCAGGTATATCTTCATTGAGCACTTTAGTTAATATTGAGATTTTCACTTCCCTAATCAATTGAACAGGAGTGCGCTGCTTCCCTTGAAAAATCCTCAGATTCCTCTCCTTCCAAATCCAGTAAACAATTGCCGAAAGAGCCATTCTCTTTACTTTTTTCATGTATCCTTTCCCTTTCAGTTTTGCACTATACTAGTTCACCACCTGAGTCCAGTTGCATGATCTCCTCGAGTAACATAACCATTCCATTATTCCATTCCAGATAGTTGCTGAATATTGGCACCTAAAGAACAAGTGCTTACATGTTTCTTGTTGATTTGCGCATAGGATACATAGATTTTCAGTTAGTATCCCCATCCTGCATAGTCTTTCCTTAGTTAACAGTCTTGAGAGGTTGTATCAATAGGATAGTGGAGTCCACCCCAAATTGAACCTGACATTGTATCAATAGGAGCTGTCGAATGAGTCAGGGCTTTATATATCTTAGATGTTTGAATTTTCCCATTATCATAGCATTCATTCATAGTTCTCTGCAGATTATTACCGTCTCCAAATTTATTGATAGTCATATCTCTAACTTTGAGTAATTGCCTCCACATCTAAGAATCTGTTCTTCGAGCTTGAGTAATTGCCATCCTACGATTTTTGCTCTCCCATGGTGTACACTGTTTCTACTTTTAATAATAATGACAATTTAAGGTTTACTTCAATAAATTTATAAAAAAGTATCAAATGAATAAATATATCTTCGTTGATACTAATTATTGATTTAATGATTTGCAATATATTAAGTTAATCCAATTTTTATCTAGTTCAAAATAATATTTGCTTCAAAATTTCAGGAATCTAGTTTTATTTTAAGAGGTTTGCTTAGGTGCTCCAAAAATAGGCTTTCTTTTAATTTTTAAATTGACAAAAATAACAAATGAGCTAAAATAAAAAGGGTATTTTAGTCTTTCAAAATTCTCTTCTAATTGCTTTCTATCCTAAAGATAACCACTCTGTTGCTTTTTTTCTTTCTCATCACATGACATAATTACTTTAGAGTTTTTTTAATCATCATCCAATGCCTTTATAGAGGCAAAGAACAATGAGCATAGCATAATGTTCTATATAATTAAAAAAAATTAAAAGGAAAAAGATGGGGATACCTTTCATAGCGCCTCTTCACGAGAAATTTTGGAGAATAGGATGCGTCGTTGCCTTTTATAAACAATATATAAAAGGTAATTAATCAAGAGGACAAATAAGAATAGCAAAAATTAGCTAAATTTCCTTCAGCAATGAATCTGTGGATACTAGTGAATGTAAGCAATTAACTAATTTCCTTCAGCAATTAAAATTAGAAGTTCTAGTTGAAAGCACATGAGCAAAACCACGGTAGAGGATTATGCTAAATTGAAATTAGTTAGTTGAAGAATTGTAACTAATCAACAATTCGGTTTCTCTCCTAAATTGTATTTCCTAAAGTAACCTTTTAACCTATAGCTAATTACAATTTTGGGTGTGGAACATCTCCTAACTATCAAATCTATCTATCTAGAAATGTGAGAGCTATTTTTAAAGAATATATTTACAGATATGCCACCGATGCTCCAACAATTTTTTTTATGGAGCACCGAAGCTGTAGGCTTATTTTAAATATAGTTTTTAATCTGACAGTAAAAAAAATCCTAATCAAGTGCGATTCTTTTTCTTCCGAGATGTTCGGAAAAGAACCCGAATAAAATACATGATTTTCGTAGTTTAAAAGTCTAATCCAGCTGCTCAGAACTCTTTAATCGGATAAATAAACATGACGCCTTTATTTATTTTTCAAAGTTCAAAGAGATCAAAATAAAACCTCCCAACTCCTTTTCCTCTCTAGGGTTTTGTTGCTGCTAGCTTCGTTTCACAACCATGACGGCCTCCTTCCAATTTCTCTCGCAAGCTGAAGGTGTCGTAATTTTCTTTTGGGAAAAATGCTTCCAGCCCCCAAAAGCTAAGTGAACGTGCTTCCCACCCTCAAGACTTGGTCAATGGGTGTTTTACCTCTAAAAATAAAGATTTTGTTCTCTGAGCCCCAAAACACAAAACCCAAGATATTAAAACATGTGAAGACCATAATACCCTTCTCTCTCTCTTTCTTTCCCAAAACACAAAACCCAAGATATTAAAACATGTGAAGACCATAATACCCTTCTCTCTCTCTTTCTTTTTTTATTAAAATATGACCATAATACCCTTCTCTCTCTCTTTCTTTTTTTATTAAAATATGATGAGGATTATTTTATTATTTTTTTTCTCTCTCTCTCTTTATCATGATGTACCAAAAAGATCTTTAGATAGGTAACCCTAACAATTAAACCCGTAACATTAACAATTAAACCCGTAACCTTAACAATTAAACCTGTAACCTTAACAACAAATCCGTAACCTACACAGCAAATCCACAACCTTAACAACAAACCCTTAACCTTAACAACCAACCCGTAACCTTAACAATCAACTCGTAACTTTAACAACCTCCCAATACAAACAACCAAAATAATAAAAAACGAAAATAATAAAATAATCCTCATCAATAATTTCAACTATCCTCTTGGTACATCATGATAAAGAGAGAGAGAAAACAAAAATAATAAAATAATCCCCATCATATTTTAATAAAAAAAGAAAGAGAGAGAGAGAGGATTCATAACCTTAACAACAAACCCTTAACCTTAACAACCAACCCGTAACCTTAACAATCAACCCGTAACTTTAACAACCTCCCAATACAAACAACCAAAATAATAAAAAACGAAAATAATAAAATAATCCTCATCAATCATTTCAACTATCCTCTTGGTACATCATGATAAAGAGAGAGAGAAAACAAAAATAATAAAATAATCCCCATCATATTTTAATAAAAAAAAAAAGAGAGAGAGAGAGGATTCATAACCTTAACAACAAACCCTTAACCTTAACAACCAACCCGTAACCTTAACAATCAACCCGTAACTTTAACAACCTCCCAATACAAACAACCAAAATAATAAAAAACGAAAATAATAAAATAATCCTCATCAATCATCATGATAAAGAGAGAGAGAAAACAAAAATAATAAAATAATCCCCATCATATTTTAATAAAAAAAGAAAGAGAGAGAGAGAGGATTCATAACCTTAACAACAAACCCTTAACCTTAACAACAAACCCGTAACCTTAACAACCAACCCGTAACCTTAACAACCTCCCAATACAAACAACCAAAATAATAAAAAACGAAAATAATAAAATAATCCTCATCAATAATTTCAACTATCCTCTTGGTACATCATGATAAAGAGAGAGAGAAAACAAAAATAATAAAATAATCCCCCATCATATTTTAATAAAAAAAGAAAGAGAGAGAGAAGGGTATTATGGTCTTCACATGTTTTAATGTCTTGGGTTTTGTGTTTTGGGGCTCAAAGAACAGATTCTTTATTTTTAGGGGTAAAACACCTATTGACCAAGTCCTGGGGGTGGGAAGCATGTTCACTTGGCTTTTGGGGGCTGGAAGCATTTTTCCCTTTTTTTTATACATATTTTTCCCGCTTCAAATTTATTTTTCTTGATTATGGTCTGTTAATTTGTGTGATTAAACACGTTGCATCAAGAAAACTAGTGGGTGTCAGTTTTCTAGTTAAGTTTAGACAATGTAGGATTTAGAGGCATTTCGGTTTAGGGTTTACTAGGTGTGCATATAGATGAATATTCATTGGACTGTAAGACAAAATGCAAGATGATGATAGGAAATTACAAGAGCTTATAAGGCCAAAAGCGAGGGATACAAAATTGATACCAAAGAAAACTATGGATGCATTAATAATACATTTGTTTATTTTCTGACAAATCGAAGCCGTGACCATTGCAAGAAGAGCATCGTAAAGATACAAATGATATAACAAACAGCAGGATAAAACTCATGATGAAAGGCCTCATATCACTTTGTGACGTGAAGCACCCATAATTAGCCAACAAGAAGATGATCCGGTATGGATCACCCTTTTAAACTGTCAAATCTTTAGCTAACGTATATAGAGGTAATGGTAAAGTGAACAAATATAGTAATTAACCCAGGAAAATAAAATTACTAGGGGGGGTGGGGAAATGACAGGAAGGACTTAAAATTTTTTGAGAAAAGGAAGGACTTAAAATTGAGGGGAAGAAGCAAAAGAAGAAGGGAAAGGACTAGGAGGGTCATGTTGTTGCGCATTGGAAAGTATATGAAGAATTAGTTTTTGATGATGGGTCATTAGAAGCAAGGGCTAGCTAGCTTATCGGAAAGACATGGGTCTAAGAAGACAAGCTCCTTTGACTTTCTGGCCATTGCTTCTTCCTCAGATCCCCCTCCTGGCTTCGAAAATGTTAAAAGACAAGCTAAGGCGTCTAAGAAGAAGCCCCACAGCGGGCTGATGTCTCACCTTCCTTACAGACGACACCTCTCGTTGATAAGGAGAGGTAAGTATCCAGGTACCTCCAAGGGTAAAACCTCCTCTTCTTCATCTACGCTTCCTATTAACTCTCTTAATGTGGAAAAGTTGGAGGAAATTTCTATCAATCGTGGTATCAAAGGTCCGGTTGACCTCAGTGTTATGAGGGATATTCAGAATATGGAGATTATT